TCTCTCTCTCTCTCTCTCTCTTTCTCTCTCTTTCTCCCCTCTCTCTCTCTCCCCCCTCTCTCTCTCTCTGTCACTCTGTCTCTCTTTTATGTCCTACAAGCGCCTATCACCACAAACTATAATATACAGGGTGATCCAAAAAACAACAACAACAAACAAACTATACAACTTTCTTTCTAAATATCTCGCGTAAAATGCATACTAGAATGTTGTAATTTGGAACAGATATAATTCTTCAGAAGGAATTTGCTTCACGTAAAATTCACCAAGAAGAATCTTATTTTCGAAAACCGAAATGGCGTCTATAAAAACCACCTATAAATGCAAAATGCACCAATTTAAAATCCTTGTAAAAAAAAGTAATGAAAAGATTGGTGTTTTTTTCCGTTCCTTTTATATTTTACATCTAATCTTTCAATTCTTGTAACCTTTAAACAATTTTTCTTTTTTCCTACAGAGTTAAAAATATTATTGTTTAAATTCTGGAATTCCGAGAACAAATGGTCTATTGTATGTCCTCCTTTGGACTCAGCACATTTTAATGAGTCGTTCGTAATGTTCAGTGGTGCCAAACAAGGATCCACCCAACCGTGAGTACTCAAAGCCACACACACGGTACATCTTACAATCTTGAGCTGTTTCTAGAGACAATATAAGGAGGAGGGGGAGGGTGAGATTGCCCAAATATACAGCATTTGTGGAGTTGATATAACCCGAAAGACGAATATGGGCTTTGCCAAGGAACAAAATGTCATAGAGGAAATGTTCATGTTTTTCAAGACGATCGATGAATCATGAACACACTGTTGTTCTCGGATAGCTTCGCAAACAGGAAAATGGTATAGTCATTGAAGAAGATCTGCCTTGAAAATGCGGACCGTTGAGATTTAGGAAAGTCATTGTTGCAGACATCGTCTACGGACAGACGTCTCATGGCGCTAATCTACTGAATTCTGCACCCTGGTGGCGATTAAAGGAATGCGAGCGGAGTGTGTTTGACCTGAGGTGGTCGCTTTGTCTGGGGAATTTTAGTTCTGATTCTCTACAGGTCCTAACTGATGGATTATTTCAACCCATGACTCCAAAGAGGGCCTTAACCAGGCACTTACTTACATACTTTACTTTTCCGATCCAGCGGCCATTTGGGTTCTATCCTTTCGGCCTGTCGATATGGCAAATAATTTACAGGTTTTAATCAGCTGAGCTTTGTCGCTGTATAGAGAATTTCCGATGTCTGGGGAGGCTGGTAGGTAGGTGCTACGCAGGTCGCAAAGCGCAGGGCAGATAAAGAGGTGTGGTGTGGTACTGTCTCACCCCGGCAGTGGCACAACGGGCAGTCGCGTGGGGTAATAATAATAATAATAATAATAATAATAATAATAATAATAATAATAATAATAATGATAATAATAATAATAATAATAATAATAATAATAATAATAATAAATAATAAATAGCATTTGTATTGCCCATATCCCCGCTCAACAGCAGGCTCTATGCGCTTTACACTATATTATTATCCATGCGGATCCTATTAAGGTAGGGATTTAGTGGGATTGAGTTGGGGACTGTCATGTATGCAAATACAGTTTTTCCAGTTTTGCCCATTGCCCATCCAGTCAGCCACTGTTCCCTAGTGTTGCATTTGATGATGTTCTTTGCTGTCTGTTGTGATACTGGGTTGTGAGGTTGTGTTTGTGATGCTCCCGTCTTGGCAAGGGTGTCTTCTCTGTCGTTTCCTGGGATGTTGTTGTGGCCATGTATCCGATGTAGAGTCAGGTCGACGGCATAGGTCTGTATGAACGTATTGATTGTTTGAGCCACGGATAGGCAGGCTGGGCTTTCGAAATTCATGTTTTTCAAAGCTTGGAGTACTGACTTTCCGTCTGTGAAGATAATAGTGTTCTTGATTTTGTTTGGATGTATTATGAAAATGTTGGTCAGGTGGAGGATTGCTGCTTCAATGGCGATGGCCCCAACCTCGTAATTTGTACAAGGAGTACCACATGCATCAAATAGCTCTTTACCTGTTTTGTCAGGATGTTCCATTCTTATTCCAAAGCCCGCGTTTATAGTTCCCTTGAAGGCTGACCCGTCTGAGTAAATGTGAATTGAGTCACTAGGGTAGGAGTCAATTGTCTTGAGAGCTGTTGTCTTCAGTTCTACTGGGTCACATTCCTTTTTCACTGTCTCCTATATGAGGTAAATTTTGATGTTGGCGTTCTTGATGTTGACGTTTGGAGGGAGTTCTGGTCTTAAGGGTTTCAGCTTTTCTCTGTTACATGGAAGATGGTGTTTTTCTGCAAGTTCAGTGGCTGTGTCAAGTATTGATCTTCCATGAATCCGTTTCTTTGGTCGTCTCTGTTCAATTATTTTCCTGTTTGGGTGGTTTTTCTCTAGTCTTTTGTAGCGCTCACTCATCTCCACAACTGCTGCCTCTCTCCGCAAGTCCAAGGGTTCCTGGTTCGTATAGATTTCACAAGCTGCAGTTGGGGTGGATCTCAAAGCTCCGGGGATAAATCGTACAGCTTGATTCTGGATTTTGTCAAGAGACCTCTGAGTTGGTTTGCTGCAGATTGTCTGTAGGGTTAGGTTATATTCCATGGCTGGGCGTACATTACCAGCATATAGCTGTCTTAGGTCATCCTTGTCCACTCCCCATGAAGTGCTAGCCAGTCGTCTGAGAAGGTTAAGTTTCTTGTTGGCCTTGGTCTTCAGGTTCCAGATATGGTTTTTGCTTGAAAACTGCCCGTCGTGCTCGATCCCAAGGTAGATCGGGTTTCCATCTATTTCTAGTTTGTTTCCTACAAGTGAGATGGTGAGATTTTACTTTGCAACTTTGTGGCTTATTGTAAAGACGGTGTAGATTGTCTTGGTGCAATTTGCTTTTAGCTTTTACTTGCAGCAGTAGTTGTTGAATCTATCTAGATCCTCATTTATAAGCCGTGCACTGATGCCAGCTTGTTTACTTCTATACCAGATGGCTAGGTCGTCGGCATATAGGACTTTCTCCGATTTCAGTACCTCAGGCAGGTCGTTGATGAAAACAAGGAAATGTGTGCAGCTCAGAGAGGAACCCTGGGGTAGGCCCTCCTCCAGTACAGCTTTAGAGGACGCACCATTGTTAATCCTGGTATGGATTGTCCTGTCTGTAAGGAAGGTTTTCACCCTTTAGTAGAGTTTTCTGTGGATTCCTGTCTGTGTCGTCTTCCACATGAGGCCTTTTCTCCATACCCTGTCGTAGGCTTCCTGGAGGTCAACGAATATTGCAACTGTGTGCTTCTTTTACTGGAAGCCACCAAGGGCTTTCTGACTGAGCCTAAAGAGCTGGTCATCTGTTCATTGGCCCGCACAAAATCCTGCTTGGTTGCTGTCCAGGGCACCGGTTGTTTCTACCCACCAGTATAGGCGGTGGTTGACCATTTTCTCTGCTAGTTTCCCAATGCATGAGGTGAGTGAAATGGGTCGATAGCTTTTCATTTCTTAAGAATAGGGGTGATGATGGCGTTTCTCCATGCTCTGGGGATGGTGTTTTCATTCCTTGTCTCGTTGATCAGCTGGAGAATATAACCCTTACCAATGGGACTGAGGTTGACAAGCATTTCATAGTGGATCTTATCTGGTCCTGGGCATTTGCGGGGCTTCAGTTTCTTCATTGCCCTGTTGAGCTCAGTGAGAGTGAAGTCATTTTCAAAGAGAGAGATACTTGCACTTAGCACATGCTCTTTCTCTTTCAGTCTTTTTAGACAGTCTCTATATTGGTCATTGTGGGGTGGAGCTTTGCTTGTAAAAGCAAAGAACGTATTGAAGGTTTCTGACTTTTTTTGGTTTGGGTCTTCTACGATGGTGCCTTCCTCTGTGTCCATGGGTTTTGGGTTGTTTCGACGCTTTTCTCCACACAATTTGGAGAGAAGTGACCATGCTTTGGCTCCGTTTCTACGTAGGTCAAGGTCTGCAACTGCAATGCTCCATTTGTTTCTATTATTAGTGTGAAGAAACCTATAAAATGCTATCACCAGTAATAAAACGGAACAACTTGTAGGTTCTTACATTTATGAATGCAGAAAAACTAAAAGATTATAACCAACAGGAAAAGTGTAACGACCGACCGACCAAATTACGCAAAGCAGTAGGAGGACAAAGTAATAAAGATGCTTCTGGGTTATAAAAAAAATCATATTTATATTTGATAGAGTTTGTGCGTGCGGAAAAAAAGTAGAGAATAGTAGCACCTATGTTAAAACAAATTACATAATGTGTTGATTCCTACATTTAGCCAGTCACAGAAAAAAATGTATTATAACCAATACAAACATTGTAAAGACCGACCACCTGAGTTACTCAAAAAAGTAGGAAGACAAAGTAATAAAGTTAGTTTTAGCTATTAATTAAACATTTAGGTTTGAATAGAGTTTATTTGTGTGGAGAAACCTATAAAATACTATTACTTGTGTTATAATAGAATAATATGTTTCCAAATACTAAAAAACTATAACCAATAATTAAAGGGTAACGACCGACCACCCCAAAAACCCAAAACAGTAGGAGGACAAAATGATAAAGATACTTTAAAAAAATTTAAACATATTATTTATATTTAGATGGAGTTTATTAGTGTAGAGAAACCTATAAAATACTACCACCTGTGTTATAACAGAACAACACGTTTGTTCTTACATTTAGGCGTTTACAAACTCTAAAAAAATCATAATCAACACAAAAAGTGTAACGACCGACCAGCCAAATTACCCAAAACAGTAGGAGGACAAAGTAATAAAGATACTTTTAGGTTTTTAAAACATATATAGATTTGGATACAGTTTAGCTGTGTGGAAAAACCTGGAACACCTTAGTACCTATGTTGAAACAGAATAAAACGTTGGTACTTCCATTTGATTTAGGTATGCACACAACCTAAAATAAAATAGAACCATTGCTAAAAGTGTTACGACCGACCGCCCAAGTTACTCAAAACGGTAGGATGACAAATTAGTAAAGACAATTTTATCTTTTTACAACAAATTTAGGTTTGGATAGAGTTCAACCGTGTACAGAAACCTATAAAATAAAAGCACCTATGTTAAAACAGAATAACAGGTTTGTTCTTACACAAAAACTAAAAGGATTATAACCAATACTAAAAGTGTAACGACCAAACGCCCAAATTAATTTTTAAAAATAGGAGGGCATGGTAATAAAGATACTTCAAGCTTATTATAACACATTTAGGTTTGGAAAGAGTTTAGCCGTGTAGAAAAACCTAAAAAGCGCTATCACCTGTGTTAAAACAGAATGATATTATGTTGGATCCTACACGTAGGCAATCACACAAACTAAAAGATTATAACCAATACTAAAATTGTAACCACCGACTCCTAAAATAAACTTTAAAAATAGGAGGACAAGGTAATAAAGACACTTCTAGCTTTTTATAACACATCTAGGTCTTGACAGAGTTTACCTGTATATAGAAACTTAACAAAGAAAGTTGTAGTTTTTTAAATTGAATCACCCGATATATATTTCTCTCTCTTTCTCTCCCTATGTCCTGCAAGCGCCTATCCATAGAAATTATTTCTCTCTCCCTCTCAATATATATATATATATCTATCTATATATATATATATATATATATATATATATATATATATATATATATATATATATATATATATATATATATGTATATGTGTGTGTTTGTATATATCTTTCTCTCCCTATGTCCAGCAAGCGCCTATCCCCAGAGACTTTTCCCTCCTGGAGCAGCTAGAAGCTGGCATGGGGGGCGCTGCAGACGGCACCATCAACTGGGGGCTGGCAGACGAGAATGACGTGACCTTGACCTACTGGACTGCCATGATCGTCGGCCCGCTCAGTAGTCCGTACGAGGGCAGAATTTACACACTCAGCCTGGAGTGTGGGCCCGAGTACCCGGCCGAGAAACCCACAGCAAAGTTTCTCACGCGCATCAATATGAAGGGCGTGAACAGTGCCACGGGAGAGGTGCCGCCCTCCACCATAAGCGAGGCGTGTGGTTCGTCCAATCCGACCTGTACCCTAGAGGAGATCTTGACCTACTTGAAGGCTTCGATGAGCGCACCAGAGAACAAGAAGCTCTCTCAGCCCTCAGAGGGATCTCTTTACTCAAGCTAGAGTTTGATTAGAGTTTGGTACTATTTTTTTCTTTCCTTTTTTCAAATAAACCTCCCACAAAATGACAATATATTCTTGCAAATCGTGTGGTCATAAGACACTTTTGCCTACTCAAAGTAAAGTGTTAAACATTTTTATCTGTCACTTCAAATAAACTTCAACGAAAAGACAATCCATCGTTTCTTTTTTTTTCATTTTTTTTTTCAAATCGTGCGGTCGAAAGACATTTTGGGTACTCAAAGAAGAGTTTTGAATACTTTTTTCGTTCCTTTGAATACATCTCAACAAAATGGCAATAATAATATTGTCATTTTGCAAACTCTAGCTTGTAAATCTTGCAAATCGTGTAGTCGTATGACACTTTATCTACTCAAAGTAGTTTTTTGATACATTTTTACTTCCCTCAAATAAATCTCCCACAAAAATATTTTTGAGAATTGTGTGGACATAAGACACTTTTGTCTACTCACAGTAAAATGTTAGACTTTTTTTCTATCACTTCTAATGGTTCACTCACTCAGTCTGAAGTGTGGGCCCAAGTACCCGGCCGAGAAGCCCACAGCAAAATTTCTCACGCGCATCAATATGAAGGGCGTGAACAGTGCCACGGGAGAGGTGCCGCCCTCCATCATAAACGAGGCGTGTGGTTCGTCCAATTCGACCTGTACTCTAGAGGAGATCTTGACCTACCTGAAGGCTTCGATGAGCGCACCAGAGAACAAGATACTCTCTCAGCCTCCAGATGGATCTCTTTACTCAAGCTAGAGTTTGGTACTATTTTTTCTTTCCTTCTTCCAAATAAATCTCAACAAAATGACAATATTATTGCAAATTGTGTTTTCGTAAGACACCTGTCTACTGAAAGTAGAAGTAGAGTTTTAACCCTATCTGTACACCCTGGGATCATTTTGCACCCCCGGGCTTGTGTTCTTCACACTTTAGAATACTTCTAGTACGATAATCTCTTTGAAACTTAAACTTTCAGTATTTGTCCAAAAAATATTAATTTTGACAGACTGCTATGCAAAGCGTACGGATCGGATTAAAGTTAAAGAGTAAATTTACTCTTTGGAAAGTGGTGGCACAGAGTTCCCTACGTCGTATGGATACCATTGCAAAACACGACATACGGATAGGGTTAAACACTTTCTTCTTTCTTTTGAATAAACCTCAACAAAATGACAATATTATTGCAAATCAGGTGGTCGTACGACATTTTGTTCTCCCCAGTAAAGTGGTTTGACGCGTTTTTGCTTCCTTCAAAAAAATCTCCCTCAAAATGCTAATACTTTAGCAAATTGTGTGGTCATAAGACATGTTCGTCTCCTCAAAGAAAAGTTTCAAACACTTTTTTCTGTCACTTAAAATAAACCTCAACAAAATGACAATTCATATATTATTTTTGTTTTTCAAATTGTGTGGTCGAAGGATACGTTTGTCTACTCAAAGTAAATGTTTAGCACTTGTTCCTTTCCCTCCTTCGAATAAACCTCAATAAAATAACAATATTGCTCTTGCAAATTATGTGGTCGTAATACATTTTATTTACTCAAAGTAGCGTTTTGCCACTTTTTTGCTTCCTTCAAATAAACCTCAACAAAATAAAAGACAATATTCTAACAAATTGTGTGGTCATAAGACATGTTTGTCTACTCAAAGTAGAGTTTCAAACACTTTTTTCCCTGTCACTTCAAATAAACGTCAACAAAATGACAATACATGTTTTATTTTTTACAAATCGTGTGGTCTTAAGACATTATTGTCTACTCAAAGTAAAGTGTTAACACTTTTTTCTGTCAATTCAAATAAACCTTAACAAAGACAATACATCATGTACGTATACCATGTTTTACAAATCGCGTGGTCGTAGGACCCGTTTGTCTACTCAAAGTAAAATTTAAACACTTGTTTCTTTGACTCCTTCACATAAATCTTAACAAAATGACAATTTCTTACAAAACGTGTGGTCTTAAGACATGTTTATCTTCTCAAAGTCTTGGCACTTTTTTGCTTCCTTCAAATAAACCTCAACAAAATAAGTAAAAATATTCTTTTAAAAACTTAAAATAAAGTGGTAAACACGTTTTTCTGTCACTTCAAATAGACCTCAACAAAAAGACAGTATATCTACGAAAATTATTCCTGCAAATTGTGTGGTTCGATGACATTTTATCTATTCAAAGAGGCGTTTTAACACATTGTTTATCCTTCCTTCAAATAGACCTCAACAAAATGACAACATTCTTACAAATCGTGTAGTCGTAAAAAATGTTTTTCTACTCAAAATAGAGTTTTAAACACATTTTCTGTTCTTCAAAAAATTTAAACAGAATGGCAATACCATAAAACTATTTATTTGGTATCCATCGTTGGCCCTTCAGACCAGTTTTTGGGTAGTTGGACCCGCTAAAAAAAAACCCAATTTTTTATCGATCAAGAAAAATTTGCAGAAAAGTTTATATCTCTGGTTTATTGCGTATTTGTTCAAATCAAAGAGCAGGACAAAACATGGTTTCTAGTAAAAGCAGGACATTCGATTTGACGTCGCTCCCCGGTAGGGCCATGTCAAGAGATGGTCGGTTTGGGGCGGTGTTTTTTTAGGGGGGGGGGGGAGTATAAAAAGTTTAAAAGCTCATCAGACAACCAAAGCTCAAGAATGTTTTTTTGTGGTCTTGAACTACTGCTAAGTCAATGTGTTTCTCTTCCCTAAAAAATTTAGTTATGTGGTTGGCCTAGAGGTCGGACTTGCCACGGGAAGATCGTGGGTTCGAATCCCGTCAGGTACCCGACGTTGTGTTCTTTGGAGAGGCACTTTTCACGAATTTTCCTTACTTCACCCAGGTGGGAAAAGTTTACAGGTACCCGGCTATGGACAACGAAAGATCTTGTCAGTTCGTCAGTTTGTTGGCAGGGCCATCTACAGACATAAACCGTGGGTGGTCAGTGGATGCTTTGGTGTGGCTTGCTCCTTCTTTCCCATCAAACATCTATCGTCTTCATGTCTCCTTTTTCGTTGTTGCATATTGCCCTCTAGTTATAGCCTACCTCTTACGATGGGACACACCCTTAGAAAGCCCAGCGGAAACATCACAAGACAGTCGCTGCAGTGGAACCCACAGGGAGCACGAGGCAGGGGAGAAGTAGGAGATGTGTGGAAAGGGACATGAGAGAGATGGGGTTCACTTGGAACAAGTTTGGAAGGACAGCACAAGACAGACATAAGTGGAAGGAGCTTATACCCTGCCTGGGGTGAAAGGCATTGATGACGATGATGAATGCCTCTTCGAATCTCCGACGCTAATATGACCCAATTTGTGTTGATAATGCCGTAAAACTCTTATTAAAATTCAGGAAAAAACGTACATGAGCAGAAACAGCAGGAGAACCCAGGTGACAAGGGAAACAATAGTTGTTTATTTCTTTGACTGACGCCACTCACCTCACGCAGACCGATATGCTCTCTCTCTCTCTCTCTCTCTCTCTCTCTCTCACA